CTTGGAAACGGAGTAAGTTATCGATTATCGGAAACAAACTCGATCTGTGCGGGAACTAGGAGCACCTACATCTAAAATTTCGGAATCTTGAATAGATGCCAGATATACCAGCTACCAGCTACCAGCTGTACTATGTGCCTGCCAACTAACTATATCTTTTCCATATCCAAATTCCATATCCATATTCGAATGGAAGAAGAGTTTGAATACATATTAAATATATATGTCTAATGCAAGACTCATGTGCATATGCCTGCCACTCACATATCGATAATGCTAATGCTCTTTCAAATGGATACTCTTTCGGTTATATTTGTACCAACTGCAGCACGAATGAGGCATGCCCCGAATCGGATGATACCCTTACAGCGACGCCCACGAATAGCGCAAATCAAAATAATGAGAAGGGCGTGTGCCTGAGAGTTTGGCACTGGAAACTGAATATGGTTTCGGTTTAGATGACTTTTTTTTTTTTGTTATTTTCATCTATCTTCCCTTTTTTTGGCGGGGGGGTTATGCGCCGTTCAAAAGGCACAACGAAGTCGTCGCCCGTTGCAGATTAAAAACAATTTCTGGCACTGCTAGCATCTCAATTTGCAGGCTTCCTATGGCAATTCGTGGCCGGGGCCCGGCGACAGTACCGGGCCGCAATGCACTCGACGAAGCCTCATAAATACCGAATTAGTTGGTAATTCTATAAGCAACACGCGTCCATTGATGGATTGGCTGCCAGTTGCTGTTGTTGGCTCGGCTGCGTGTGTGCCCCAGCTCCCTCTCCCTCTGCCCTCTCTCGTGAATGTGGGCGCGTGCTAGATAAATAAAAAGGCACCAGCACGAGAGAGCCAAATTGTATCTGTGAGATACAAATCGCATTGGCAGATTGCTCGCTGTCGATTTGTGGCGCGTGGCACGCGAGGGCGCCGCAGGGAGTCGCCACAATTAGCCGCAAATGGCAAATGAATTTTCATTTTTAATTATCATAATTAATAGAAAGATGAAAGCTGACCAGAAAGGCAAAGCTATTTTATGTCTATCAAGATAATTTCCAGCCAGGGATTAGACACACACGCACACACACGCACACACACGCACACACATTGCAGTCAGTTCATTAAAATAAAAACACATTCGCGCAAAAATCTTATTAAAATAAAAGAGAACAAAACGAGGCGAGGCGTGGCAACTCTGACTCTCTGGCGGACTCTTTATGAGCTAAATTAATGGTTTATGATGATGATGGCCGCCGGACTCGCTGACGCGCGGCTCGCCCTGCCTCACAGCGTTTGGGTCCAGTTGAGGTTCGAGCGGGTTCGCGAATCGAATGATCGCAACTGGTTGCGGGAGGGGCATGGGGAAGGGGATGTGGAAGGGGGAGGGTAAGGAACAGGGTAAGGGGACCTGAGCGCGAACTGGATCAAGCGGCGTTCCACAGTTCGTACGATCAAAAAATGTGTCTTCTTTTCTAAATGCTAAACCATATGCTCAAGAGATACAGATACTGTATCTAAGCTAGAAATCAAACATAGCATACATATTGTAGACATGGACATTGTATTGTAAACAGGACTAATTGCAGAAATAGCTCCTTCAGGACTGCAAGTCGAATAGAAATTGACGTTGGTTCGGTTCACGGTTCGAACCAGTTCCCTGCTCTTAAGATCGATTATTGAAGCTAGATTTCTTTAGCCTGGAATTTCGATTTTCCTTCTTAAGCACTTCCGCTCGAAATGTTATGGAAACAATTCAGCTCATTAATTTACAGTTGTCCAGGTGGAAAAAATCTCAATATGTTGAAGTTCTACACTTCGATATGAGTTAAAGGAAAGGATATGTGAATGATATAAGACGCATAGAGGAACACATGTTTCGATCTTCGGTCATAAATAATGTTATAGATTTATGTAGCTTTAGGAAAATAAGAAATACATTGCCTAGAATGTTGGCTTGAGCTAAGGTTGACGCCTTTTCGTCAGTTCCTTAGATATAGTATACTTAGATATTGGTATACATTTTGTTCAGGGAACATGGGTAGAATGTTGCCAGACACTCTTGAAGTGCAATATCAGCTAAGCCAAGGAAAGAACGAAATTGGAACAAGTTGAATGTTGTTCATATTTTAGTTATTGTTAAAATGTTAACTGTTTTTACAGATCTGTGCGGAAAGTTTCGATTAGCTAGGACCAAACTTGACTAATTATTTGATTAACATCTGAGTTATTCTATAAAGAATAATTCGTATAATATTATTAATACGTAGCTCTCTCCAACTAGCTAAGGAACTTGTTATTGTTGGGAGGAAATTTAAATTATATAAGTTCATAATAGTATTAATATTATATTGACCCATTTCCCATTTGTGTAAATAAGCTGTTGTTGTAAATATATAAAAAAAAAGAATTGCATGTTGTTTTTATATATATATATTATTCATCTGATCATATTTTTGTGAACTTTTTACAATTATTTTAGTTTATAATTAAAAAAAAAGAATTAACCAGTTTGCTTAAATATTAGCACACATATATATATATATATACATATAAACATACATATATATACATATATTTATACATATACATATATGCATGCATATGCATGACTGTATACATATATATATGTACTTGAATGTGCCTATACATACACATATATATGCATATAGCATATACATAATTATACCCACTTAAGTATTATTAACTAATTTTTCATGATTTTCCATTTTGTTTTTCGACTTTGCTTAATATGTAGTTCAAAAAAAAAATGCACTTATATTTAATTAGTTTCTAAATGTTTTTGTTGTTTCTATTTATAGCGCAATATCGTTCAAGTGTGTGTGTGTATGTTGTTTGCTTGTGTGTGTCCGTGTGTGTGCATGTATTTAAGCATGCATTTGTATATGCATGTGTGTGTGTGTGTTTTTCAAACAAAATAGATACGCTTAAATTACAATTAAATTGAACTTAGAACTAAACAAAAAAATTAAATTAATACAAAAAAAAAATTGTCTCTAATCTTATATATGTTTGGATTGTATGTATATATGTATGTGTGTATGTATGTGTGAGTTAGAAACTGTTTTTAATATATTTTATTAAATTTTTATAAACGATTTTGTTTTTTGTTTTTTTCCTTTTAGCATACTATATCATGAACATATACACACACATATATATAATATATATATATATATATATATATATACATATGTACACACAGCATATATATGTACATACACATATACAAATACATATATATATGTAACGTCTTATACTCTATATATATATATATATGTATATATATAGATTTTTTTTTTTTTAGTATTTTCAAAAGATTTTCGTTTTTAATTTATATAATTTTTGTTTATAGTTTTGTACATGTTTAAAATTATTTATTATTATAAATATTGTTTTGCGTTTGCTTCGTTTTGGGTTGTGGCATGTTTTTTTTATATATATATCCATATATATGTGCATATACAAATACATATAGACATATGTACATATATTTGTATATATACATATATATAATAATAAAATAAAATTCACTATATAATATATATGTGTTATATAGCTACCGTTATTCCGATTTAGTTGCTTAACTTCTAATACTTTTGCTTTGCTTTGAAAGTCTGAAATGTGAATTCATTTAAAGGGTGTGTGTTCGATTTTGTTTTGTTTATAATAATGTTCACTATACATGCATATATATATATATATATATATATGTATATATATGTATATATGTGTTATATAAAGACGACATGAAATGATGCTTTGAACTTTTTAACTTGATGTCACAATGAAATACCTTTCAGTAAATATATATATATATATATATATATATATATATATATATATATATTATATATTTCATTTTCTTTCGATAATTTTTTTCATTTTTTTTTTGTCTTTTTTTTCGTTAGTTTTTGTTAGCTATGAAATAATGTTTTTGTTTCAAGAACAGTAAATTAGTTTAGTTTTGATACATATATATGTATATATATATATACATACATACATATATATATATATATATATAATAAAACTTGTGTTTTTCTTGCTATTTATGATATGAAAAGCTGGCTACGTGGGGCTGTCGCACAGAAGATATTAAAAATATAAATGAAAATGAAGTTAAAACATATTTTCAGAGTTTACCCCAGCCGAGAAGCCAGCATATATATGCGCAGAACCACGCCCTCGCCCTCGCCCTTGCCCTTGCCTCCTTCCGCGAAATTGTCTATAAATATTGCAACTTCTTTCTATTTCGCTCACTTACAAATAATCGCATATCAATTACGAGTTTCAACAAATCTTTGTTAAATGTTTTAAGTTTTTTTTTTGTTTTGTTTTGTTTTGCTTTTTGTTTTTCGTTTTTACTTAGTTTATCACTCATTTACTTCGTTGATCCTGGCGGCTTAAGTTATTATGTATATACACACATATATATATATATAATAATATACATACACATATATATATATATATGTACTGAGTGCATCAATTTAACACACACACATAGTAATATTTTAATGCATAAGTGTAAAAAAAAAATATTATTAACTATATCAAAAAAAAAAAAAAAGAAAAAATATATGTATATATAAATTTGTTTAAATTTGTCCCTCATAGTTGTATATATGAGAGAATGCAGCGCCCGTTTTTGGTGAGGGGAAGAGTGTGGGGTGGAGGGAGGGGAGAGAAGAAGATATGTATATGAGGAATCAACTAGCCATAGGCGGCATGCTCATGCTCATGCTCATGCTCCTGTGCCATATCCTGATGCTGATCCTGCTGATGCTGCTGCTGCTGTTGCTGCTGTTGCTGCTGCTGCTGCTGCTGCTCCTGCTGCTCCTGCTGTTGCTGCTGTTGCTGCTGTTGCTGCTGGTATGGCTGCAGCTGCAACTGGGGCTGTGGCTGTGGCTGTGGCTGTGGCGAGCGTCCGCTGCTGGCGCTGCTGCCGCCACTGCCGCCGGAGCTGCTGCAGTACTGGAACAGCAGATTCTACACCATGTTCGCATACTTATCCTGCGGCGACATGTAGTCGAGGCTATTCTGGGAGAAGGCCTGCGCCGAAACGGTGCCCGTGAACGATGGCGACGGCGACAGGCCAAAGTTGGAGGCCGTGTAGCCCGAGTGGCCCATGTTGTAGTTAACCTGGTTCTGATTGCTAAAGTACTCCATCTGGGAGTAGTAGCTGGGCGCCTGGGCATAGTTGTTCGGATATTGCTGGTACTGGTTGTGCCAGAAGTTGTACGAGTCGTGGTTCGACATGTACGCCGAGTGGGCCGAATGGTGCGCCGATGCCGACTGCGCGGACTGTGCGGCATGCGCCGCTGCCGCCGCCGACTGTGGCGACATGGGCGTTATGGGCGGAGAGGGCGTGGTAATGCTGCTGCTGCTATCCATGGGCGTTATATTGCCGCCCGGCTGCAGCAGCCGCGGATTGCTGGCCGCTGCCGTGCCATAGATGCTGTGATGATGATGCGCACCGGCACCAATATCGCCGCCCGCATCCTTGAGCGTGTCGTAGGGCGAGCGCAGTGCATCGCCGGAAACGCCCACGCCCACACCGACGCCAACACCGACGCCGATGCCAACGCCAGAGCCATTGCCGCCCACGCCTCCGCTGCCATAGCCGCCGCCCAGATGCTCCTTCTTGCACACAATGCTCACCGGACTGACCGATGTGGCCGGCGTCGGCAACAGCGGCGAGGAGTTCTGATGCGCTGCGGTTACGTTCAATGCCGCCGCCGCGGCCGCTGCCGAGATGTGCGCATGCGAGCTGCCAGCACCGCCCCCGCCGCCGCCTCCTCCGCCGTGGCTGCCGCTGCTGCTGCTGGGCGTTGAGCCACCGCCGTTGTTATTGTTGTTGTTATTGGCACCACCGGCGCCAGCGTTGAGGAAGGAACTGTGATGTGACTTGATGGACTGCGCCGCCGCAACGGCCGCGGCACTGGCAGCGGCTGCTGCCGAGCTGCTTGGGTTGCCGCTGCCGTTGCTGGAGCCGCTTTGGCCGGCTCCACTCTGCTTCTGGTTCGATTTGTTACCGCTGTTGTTGTTGCTGTTGTTGTTGCTGCTGGAGCTGTTGTTGTTGTTGCTGCTGCTGTTGTTATTATTGTTATTACGTCCACCATTGGCGGAGCTGTTGCAGCTGCCGCTGCCGCCGCTGGTGTTCTTCGAGCTGCTCAAACTGTTTGACTGCTGCTGCTGTTGCAGCTGCTGGCGGCACTTGGCACGTCGATTCTTGAACCACACCTGCAATAGGCAAAACAAAAACAAAGTTCAATAAATAACATGCAATTATTTTGCAATCGCTTATAAGAATTAATTGCGTTTAATCAATGATAATTAAATATTAAATAAATATTGTATATCACAAGAACAAACTACTCCAATCTTGAACCATTATCCAGCAAGAATTCTATTGAAATTTGTAGAATAAGATCGAAATACGCTCTTTTGTGACCCGAATATCATTGAATATTTTTTAATCGACCGACTTATTATTATAGGAATGGATTAGATAGTTCTTTGATCCTTAATACATATGATATAGGCATTGATATTCCAACTTATCTATTATATATATAAAATTGAATTTAAAAAATCGATCGACCTTTAAGCATAGGATCGAAATAAAATTTTCTTTGAGCCAAATGTTATAAGAATAGATTACTTTATTCTTTGGCCCTTCATTCATAAACATACGTATGTATACATATATTCCAGCTAATCTTTTAAATCGAAATGTGGAAAATCGATCGACGAACGAGAATAAGATCGAGCTCCTCTTACACATCTATCTCAACTTATCTAGCACGAATTAAATTGAAATTTCGATCAACTGTTGATAAGAATCAATTACTTTACTCTCTGATCCTAAATACATGTGTATATATATTCTATGTTATTGCTGAAAATCGATCGACTAATTAGAATATATCGAACTACTTTGTTCTCTGAACTTAAATATATTTCCCAAACCTAGCCTCATTATAATTTATTATATAGTGGGGTACATTCATCTTTTGTCATCATCGAACTCCTACAGTTCTTGAGTATCGTAATAGACTTTATAAGTCTTAATTTCGCTATATAATCGATCGAATTCGTATCTAATATAAACATATTTAACAGTTGGAGGATCTTGTTTCTCATAGTCCTGCCAGTTTTTTACACCTGAAACAATAATCAATAGGTTTGTGGTTCTGTTTAAACTAAGTTAAAAATATTTTTGAAGCTTTTGCATGGCAACAAAAATCGATAGCTCAAGTATCAAATTGTCACGTGTAAGGCGACAAGTATTTGTTTAGTCAAGTGTGTGCGTGTGTCTCTCTCTCTCTCTCTCTCTCTCTCTCTCTCTCTCTCTGTGTGTTGGCAGCGGCTGCAATTTTCCCACATCAATTAGTTTTCTGGGCTGGCAATGAATAAATTATACGAGTGGCGCCGAGGGGGAGTGGCAGAGTGGCAGACGCACAACTCAAAACAACAAGTGCAAAAAGTCACGCGCTGCGCCGCCGGGCCCAAAAAGGAAGGAAAAAGTTACATCAACAGCCGACGGCGACGACGACGGTCGAGAGTCGAGAGTCCGAAAATTGACTCGATTATGTTTGTACGTCCGCCCCTTTTTTAGCTGGCTGGCCGCCCACGGAAGCAACCACATGCCGCCGCCCGAAGACAACAATAAACAGCCCATAAAGCGGCACATTCGAGCGCAAGGAATTCACTTAGCCTTGTTTGTTATGCTTAAGGGGCTGCAAACAATCCGCTAAGTGCAGGCATCGCAACCGAAGCAGTACCCAACCCCAAGATCAACTCAATCCCCCCTCTCCACTCTCTACGCTCTACTCTCCACTCTGCACCCTCCACCCTCCACCCTCCACCCTCCACCCTCTTCCAGCCCAGCCTCGGAAATGTTGTTTCAGTGATTTGTTGTTTGGGGTTGGTGTTGCTTGCTAATGGCTTGTGCTTTGGTAAACAGCAGAATTTATTATCGTACCGACATAACCACTGGCCCATACCCCCCCTGTTGCACCCCAGCACTACCGCATCCACGCATCCATCCACGCCCCGCAAAAGAGCTTGATGGCATATTTCCCAAAGTTAACACTTGCCACGCGGCGGCTGTGGCCACTCGAGCGTTTCATTGCAGTCGTAACGCAACATGGATGGGCGTCTGTAAAGGAGGGGGGGGGGGGGGGGGGGGGGGACAGAGAGAAGCGTGGTGTGGGGGGGGTTTGAGAGCTTTGCCCTGATTCAGCTTGAAAGGGGCGTGCTGCGAGCTACGCACTTGACGAAAAATGAGCATTAAACAAGGCGTATCAAATTTCATTATTTGTCAGCACCACACAGGGCCACCCCACGCGCCCCCCTCAGCCCACTGAACAGCTCAGCTTGTGCCTGCTTGAAATTCAATTTCAATTTTCAATTGAATTTTGCATTTTGGAAAATCTGCTTTGTGATTTGACTTTGACGTACATTACATAGCATTTCTTTCTTCTTTCCCATCTACTTTTCTAATTTTTTTGTTTTTGGTTTAGGTTTTCTCCTTTGAAATCGTTTAATGAGCTGCATCAATTTTATAATATGTATTGGGCCTGGGAATTTTTGCAAGTTTTAGCAAAAAAATTGAAGGAAAATGCAAAAAGAGTCGAAGTGAATTTTAAAAATGAAATCTTAAACGCAAACGATTCGATTGTGGCTCTAATGAACTTTGGCCAACATCAAAGCAATTCTCATTTTCTCTCTGCGGCGATTCCACAATTATAATGTTAATGAAGATGATTTGAATAGCTTGATTTTCATTGATGTTGATTTCAGCGCATCTGAAACGAGCCCTGAATAGCAGCAATTGAGACTTGTTCGAGTGGATAATGCGACAGTTGATACACGAACGATATAGCTCTGGAAACTGCGAGCTAAGATATCTAGCAACAACTTTGTTAAGTAAGAGCTATTTGTTATATCTTTCATAAAAAAGTTATCTTTAATCAAATTGTAGTCCTGAATTAAGTTTTCGACGAATCAGATGTAAAACTCTGCTCAAAAAGAAACTTTTTATAACTTTAACACTTAGCCAAGCTCCAAATGCAGATCTTGCTATATACCAAAAAAAAAAAAAAAGCATAGACTTGGAAGAAGTTAAAGAAGAAGATAATGTGGCATTCATTATTATGTTATATGTTCCAATTGAAAGTCCTATTATATCAGAACTTATTGATTTCCAGTTCCTAACTCAATTTTCACTTTCCCCATCTTATTATATAACTGTGTAATTTTTTGCATTTACCAATGCAAAATTATGCACGACTTTGCATAATAAATAAATCAATGCCCACTCGTAAAATTCAATTCTGTTCATTTTTTTTTTTCAACCTTTAGATGCAGATCTAAAAGGAATATGAGTATGTATTATGTGCGGGCTATGGAGGAGAAAAAAGCGACTGAAAATGTTAATCCGCAATGGGAAAATTAATTTTATAAAACAGCTGTGTGCGTTACACACACACACACACACACACACACACACACACACGGACTCACACCCATGGCAAACTTTTCGAGTCGTCCTGTGCCACATCCTGTGCCCGTTGCATTGCGCTATCATGCGGCAGCGGCAGTGACAACGAGACAAATCCTTTTATAACAGCGAACAACAGCAACAACAACAGCAAGTCGAAGAAGAAGAGCAAGCGAGCAGGAAAAATGAAAGGGGGGGAAAATGGGAAACTGCCTAGCAAAGAGTTACGAGCTACGCCTGGGATCGGGTCACGATTTTGACTATTTGGTGCTGGGTAATCCCCTCGCACGCTCTCTCTCCCTCTCCCTCTCCCGCTCGCGCTCTCGACTAGGTGCCTGGATCAGCTAAAATGGCTGCCTTTTGTTGTTGCTGCTGTTGTTGTTGTTGTTGTTGTTGTTGTTGCTGTCAAGCAACCGCGAAACTCCGTCGGCTGCTGCTTCAACCCCCGACGGTGAAAAATCGAACAGCTGAAACGGAGGTGACAATGGCCATGGCTGTGAAGGGGGTTGCGGGGGTAGGCAAGCAAGCTCCTGCTTGTGATTTATGATTGCGATGGCAGCCCTCAGCGGCCGCTCACTCTGCACCCTGCAGCCCGCACCCCGCAGCCCGCACTCCCTTGCCCTGTGCGCAGCGGCGAATGAAAACATTAGGGCGTAAATGTTTGCTCTGTTCTGGTGCAGATAAGCTGCGTAAAATTATTACGTTATTTGTATTGGTTGCAATCAGACGGCCACCCCGCACCCCGTACACCGCACAGCAACCGACCCACCCCCTCGGGCGACTACTGTGCGGTGCCATAAAGATGCCTATCATTCAATTAATATTTGCCAGGGCAAATGCGGCACAGTCGTTAATTTTTGCCATTTGTGAAAAATTATTATTTATGTGCGACGCCTCGACGTGGGCCGCTTCTGGTTGTGCCTCCGACTGTGCCACTGACTGTGGTAGGTGGAGCCATGGTGTGGGCCAAGCCAAGTCGTGGCCACTGCCTCAAGCCAACTAGTTTTGCCCGCCGGACCGCCTGGCCTGGCCTGCTAATTGAGTTGCTTGGCTTCCTTGGGCTTCCAGACAGTTGCATGCAACACTCGATTTTCATGACGACGTCGCTGCTGTTGCTCTTGTTGCCACTTTTGCCTTTGCGTTTCCACTGTTCGCTTGTTTTGGGGGCTTTTACGGCTTTTCTAGTTGCGGCTGTAATTCAATAAGCGTCGCGTTTGTAGGTGTTGCCTCACATCCCCCCTCCCTACCCACTGCCACAGTGGGGCAAACCGGGCAAGAAGTGCTCATTTTTTCACATTTTTGAAGCAGCGTGATAATAGCTAAAAGACGATTGAAATATGGTTTGTAAGCCCGCGAATTGAACTGAAGCCAGCCCGTATGGAACGTTTAGTTCAAATATTATCCGGCTTTGCACAGGTCACGCTATGAACATCAACAGTTGCAGACGGAATTATCAAGCTTTGATCATCTATCAGCCAATCCGTCAGTCAGTCAGTCAGTCAGGACAATATATTTATAGATCGCTTAGAATTGTTGCCAATTTATTTATTGACTAATTTTGAGCATCGAAAATGCACATTAGCCCACTGTGCGAGCTGAGCATAATAGAACCTAACAACTAGATACACATATGTTAAAAACAGTAACAGGATGACTTACAAAGCAAAAGAAAAAAAAAAAAAGTAGTAGAATGCAGAAAACAAAAGACAAGTGTATGTTGCGGAAAATCTACACAATTGTCAATGCACTTTTCCAACAACTACCGCTCCCTCTCTCTACGCCCCCTGCCACCCGCTCTATGCCTCTTTCACTGGCGCTCAGAGTGTGCATTTCGAAAATCAATTGTGTATAAAACGTAACAATGACTGTCCAGGGCCACAGAATGTGTAAAGTCAAATGGAATATGCATGCCTAGCTAGCTGGTCCTGTCCAGTTGGTGTCCTGCCAGCCAGTACTTGGCATGTTACGTGTCGTTTTTCACTTGGCCCGGCCACTGCAGGGGCTTCGCCCTGGGCCAACGACCGTACCGGGCCGATTGTAATGTCACGTCACGTCCTTAGGTTACAGGCGGAGCGGCAAAAGCAAATCAATGAACATGTCAACAATTCGAACAAGACATGCGGCTGTGTTTGCACTAGACATTAGGTGACAATTGCCAACTGATCCTCAATCAAAATGCTGTATCAAAACCGAATGCCGAATGTCGAATACCCTGTCGATTTTGGCCATTTGGCAGTTGAGCCGACGGCGCTACCAATTTGTGTTTGTTTAGGCAACAGTCGGCTGTCAACACAGCGCGGGCACGGCACCTAAGTAAACATGAGCAGTTCCTGTCAACCCGGCCAGAAGGAGCTGGGCACAAATTGAGTTGTTGTTGCTGCTGCTGCTGCTGCGGGCCGGGCAAAAAAAATTAGCGCAAATTATGCGCGGCTAATGCGAAAAGTAAACTCAAAAAACGCAACTGGAGCCGTGTGTCCTTGCCCCTGCCCCTGCCCCTGCCCCTGCCATTGTTTCGTGGCCTGTGTCCTGTCTACTGTCTACTGTCTCCTGTTTGTCCAACCCTCTAAACGATTCGCACCAAATGCCTTGTGCAAATATAAAAAAGTCGACAGTCATCGTTCATCTTCCACGCTTTACTTTTTTTTTTTGTTTCGGGCACATTTGACATTAAAAATATGCCAAGGCTCTATCTGGCTTTTCTCTCTCACTTGCTATCTATTCCCCTCTCTCTCTCTCTCTCACACTCTCTCTCTCTCTCTCTCTCTCTCTCTCTCTGACTGTTTGTTACATTTCACATTTCTATTTGCATAGCGATTTTCTTTAGGAAAATCTATGAATTTGCTACGCACACGCGCTCACATATTCCACACCAGCTATACACCAATACACACATGTATGTACACACACACACACACACACACACGGGGATATATAGCAAATGAGGCAATCTGTTGGCTGTTTGTAATTTGTTTGTTTTATGGATTTGGCAACTTTGATTTTCGAGGGCGTCTTTCGGCTCGACATATGCTTAATTAAACAATTGCCACTGAGTCTTCCAAGTGCAAACACGACTTAAACCAGATAAATACCACACACACACACACACACACACACGCATGAGGCGAAGGGAGCTTTTTCTTAACGACTGCTTTTCCACACACACGCACACACGCACACATGCACACGTGCAGTCGCACACTAGATCCAGGGCGTTGAGCCATTCAAAATCGAAGTCAATTTCGACTAGCAGCAGCAGCAGGTGTCAAGTCAGAGCAGTCAGCTGGTCAAGTAATCGACTTGATTTTATTTTCCAAATAGAATTAAGATAATTAAAATGAATTGCAAGTAGACAATGGATATGAGCATGTCGCAAATAACTCGATTAAGCCGCACAGAAAACAGCCTACATGCGACACATATTGCTTGAATTGCATGCACGCATTCTAAGCTATGCCCATTAAAAATCGTTAAGCAGTGTATACTGGTTTCGTGCAAGTGTAGGTAACTGGCAATAGGACACTCTGGGGAATACATTTATGCTCAATTACCACCAGGAACCGACTGGTTCTAGTCAAGTCCGTCTGTTTGTCTGTGGTCCCATAATTAGTGCAAATATGTTCGCCCATCTTAACGATATTCATCATATTGGTTTAAGGTTGTTTTCTTGAGCATATCTCCAAAATTATAAGGAATGTATGTTTTTCATAGGGAAATTGTTAAAAACATTTGGGCAAACAGAATGATTTTCATATGTGCCAAGTGTTAATATGCACGCAAGAAAATTGGTCTTCTTCATTTTAGAAAATTGCCCAATAAAGATAATTCCCTCCTTAGTGGAAATTGGGGTCAAAAATATTTACCAAAAATGTATGTATTTATTTTGAAAATTATGAACGTAGTTTTTTCAAATAGGATATTAATTTTCTTTTTGTTGCGATTGTCAAAAAGGTTTTATGGGTGCACTGGCAGCATTAAGTACAAAAATATGTTTATTTTTGTGATCTGATAGAACTGAATAATTAGTCAAAGAGGTTTATATATTAAATATGAAGTAACAAAGGCAATTCCACTGTAGGCTGACAAAATTCAGAATTGAATGAAAATGTGATAAAAGCCTGATTGTTAATAACTTAACCTCATCATTTTGACAAATAAGTGTTACATATTTTTCCTAAATTGTATCTAAACTAAATATTTGGTATGAACGGGAAGAAAGTTAAACATATATCAAAAGCACGTAGATATTTTCAGCTATAAGCGCAGCTCGTCTCATTATCTAAAGACTTTATATACCAAATACTTGATTATGATAAATGTTAAAATATATATAATATTTATATATTTGATATATTTCTTGTATATTTTCGTAGCTGTCAAAACGCATCGTAAGTTAATGAAGGTGCTACTCAAGACGATTTGTAATCATAGTATTGCTCACCTGTACTCTGGATTCGGGCAAATTGATCTTTAATGCGACCTCCTCGCGCATAAATATATCCGGATAACGTGTCTTGCCAAAGAGCGCCTCCAAAACATCGAGCTGGGCCCGTGTGAATGTTGTTCTCTCGCGACGCTGCTTTCTCGTGTTGACGCCTGCATAAATTGGTTATACAAAAAAAAAGAAGAGAAAAAACCAAATTACCTTCTAGTTGCGATAGCCAACAAAATGCCTAACCAAATGTGCTGAAAGTTGTTCGCTGTGGTTTGGGCGGCTTGTGCGGTGTTTGGGTTTCTCTTACACATTGCGCATACGCCGCGTGGGCCAACGGCAACTTTAATTAACATGTACACATGCCGCATACTTTTCCCAGTGTTTTTTTCTTTTTCCCATTTTTTTTCCATTTGTTATATTCGTTGATGTTGTTGCTGTTGCTTGCGCAGCAAACCGTTATTCTGAGCAACCCCTGGACAAAATGCCACCCCTAAAAAGTGCTTTGAGCTCTGAACCAACCCCGCACAGCAGCCAAAAACTTCTACTATGTGTGTGTGTGTGACTGTGAGTGTGTACATAATGTACCACCAAACACTTTTATACATATGTATTGCGTATATAAAAGTGCCTGTGCATGTGTGGCGTGTGTGTGTGTGTGTGTGTGTGTGTGTGTGCTAAGCCGCGGCATTGTTTGTTTTTGCCGGGGCAGCCGTTGTCGGTGCGTGTCTGCTGCCGCTGCTGTCCCAAATATTCAGAGAGAGCACCCCTTTTTGGCCCGGGCATGCCGAAATGCCTTTTGAATATAAAACCCCCCCTCCTCGGCGGCTCTGCTCTGCAGACTACCCTGCATGTGCGCCGCTCTGCTCTAGCTGGCTATGCCCGTCTCTGTCTAGCTCTATCAAAAATTAATGAGTTAGTCATTTTGGTCATGAATTTTTAAATTGAATAAAAAACTTCATTTCACTTGGCTCGCGCGTCGTCGTTGTCGTTGTCGTTGCCTTTGCAGCTGCCGCTTTTCGTTGTGGCCTTTTTTTTTATTTTTATTTTATTTTCATTTTTATTATTTTTGTTGCTTTCAAAATGGTCGCCGGAGCCGTTGTTGTTGTTGCTTTAAAACAAAATTAATTGCAATTTGTAGTTTGCCTTTTGCCCGGCAACGACAACAACAATTTTTTATTTATTTATATACCATATTTGGTTTCTTTTCATTTTTTTTTGTAGTGCCCAAAACCTTGGAGTCAATCTTTTAAGACTTGTTTAATTAACTGCACCTATTTAATTGGTTTATTTTTAAATTTTGAATATATTTCTTTTAAATAGTTTGTTTTCCTGGAATTTGATTCTGCCGAAATGCGAGGCATAAATCTCAATAGTTAAAAGCCCAAGGCTTATCTTAGACGCTTAAGAAGTTTTAGCGGCTTATGAGTCAGTATTTAGCCAGCATTATTTTGATCTTATACATATTTGCCATAGATGATAATTGTAGAAGTTTTCGATTTTCCACTTTTCAGCGATTTCAATTTAGATTCTTTTAAAACAGCTTACATTTTATAGCACCAGTTGGCTCGAAAGATTTGAGTTGCTTTTCTTGTTAATTTATATATGGTTAAGATTTAGAAATATTGTCATATAAATATTATATTTTATGCGCTGTATTCACATTATGTCATATTATATCCATCTAGTCGCAAGTCTCTAAGTGGTTTATCTTAACTTCCATTTGAGTTGAAATTCAAGTTTTACTGCATAGCTAAGATTTGCCACTTTCAAAATATTTGGCTATGTAATAAATAATATGTTTGTATACTTTCTGCCTTTCAGTATTAGCATTATGTCGCCCATAACACATAATACCTCTAGCTCTAGCTCAAATACCTTTACCCAATCTATGCCATTCATTCTAGGCTGCAATTGTGCGCTATCTGTGCCCACAAAATATGGGCTTATATAACTTGACAATATGATCAAACTATCAGTCGTCAGATTCTGCTATAACTTGGCTTATTACAAGATCGAAGAATTATATAAATTGATTACATGCGATTGTTTGTATTATTTTCGGTATTTTTTTCTTTTGCTTTCTTTCTCTTTTTTGCTGGCCGTAAAGTTTTTATTTATTTTATTTTATTTTATTTTTTTTTGATTTGCTTTTGGCATTTTGTAGCATTTTTGTCAGGTTTTTGTCATTTGCAGCGTCACCGAAATGAGACAAATAACTGAAACCCGAAAAAAAGTCGATTCATGGGTTCCCAAGAGCTGAGATTCGACTTCGACTTCGACTACGGCTTCGGCTTGGGCTTCAGCTCATTATTCATTTTGACAATTCAACTGATAATGATGCAATCGATGCGAAACGGCATTGAAAAGCATTTTGTGCGACAACTGGGCTGCACATCCATATGCCCCCAGCCCTGCCCTGCTCTGGCCCGTCCCAGTCAGGGCCAATTCAGTACCCATTCCGCATCAAGTTGGCCCAAATGTCATCCTGTGCATGCAAATTGAGTTATCAGCCAGAGCGGCGTCTGCTTCTGCGACTCCATATATCATTTATCATTTGAAGGGGGCTGAGGGATGAGGTGGAGCTTGTGGCTTGGCTACACGCTTTCAACATTCAGCACATTTGTTCTTTTTCTTGATGGATTCTTACGTGTGTGTTTACCAAAATTGTATTGCGATATTTACCCCACATACCTTGGGAGAACCCAACAGCCTCCAGTCCGTGTGGCAGGCCGAAGGGACCCAAAGATGGCATTGGCATGCCCGGCGGCAGCGGTCCATGCGTCACCGAATGGTGCGGATGTGGCCCGCCATAGCTGTGCGGATGTGGGCCCAAATCACCCGATTTGAGAAAGCCCGCCGCCATTAAGGCTTCCGTTGAGTGCAGCGCCACGTTGATGCTGTTTATTATGTCCTTGGTGATGATCCTTCAATTGCCTAAATGTGACTTACTGAGCTGAGCTTTCACTGAGCTCTCAATGCCTTCGTCTGTGGCTGCTCCTCCTGCCTGTGGGCGTGCCAGCTGTCTCTATGTAGCTTCAATGTTCAATTGTAGAACAGCCGCTTGGCGTTTGTTTCTGCAAGGATCAAGATTCAGATTGTTATGAAAATGATTGCTACAGATTAACCATTAACACGATTAACCATTAATATTTTGATAAGTACTTCATTTGTCTTATAGATAGTAACAGTACATAATGCTCTCTATGAAGTAGCCCAGGCTACTTTATATGCTAAAAATATATAAAATCTACTAAGTAGATCATTTGATTCGTTTTATCTACAACTTTAATGATCTGCAAATGTCTTTGTAGTTCTTAAGACAATTCTTTTTATAATAATTATTATTAATTATGTTCTAAGGAATTTCCTTTATAGTGCTTTTAGTGGCAATTCATTAACGAAACTTTTTTAGCTGGCATCTATGACTTTCGGATAGCCTGTGATGATCGGGATGCTCTTTATTCAACTGCCTAAATGACTGTGTAACCGTCCCCTGTCGAGGATTGCAAAGGAGTTCTCCTAAAGTTTAAAGAATTGAATTAGGAACATTAGAAGTATTCCTTGTATAGCTCTTTAGCCTGATGTAATCATGATATAATATCGCATTACTGACTTTCTTTTCTATCTACACCAATAATATTACATCATATCCTAATGATGCCAGCCCTTCAAGCACGAGTAGAAAACGAATTCGTATGACAAGCTATGAGTGACAGAGTCTATCTATGAGATGCCCAGAGTTGCCAGGACTGTTCAAAAAAGAAAGTTGAGACAATTATATGTTATATTATATAGATAAGTAAATTTCAAAAATTTTCCAATCTGCGCTCCATTTCATACAATTTCTGGGCATTGAGCACAGCAGCGTTGCCAGATTGGTCAGATTGCTCAGATTGGTCAGATTGGCCTGCGCCTGTGCCCGTGCCTCAATATCAATTTGGGCCAGATGTGTTATTAATTTGCGTGTGCGCGTGAGCATGTAATTTGGAACGCTCTTCGTTTTCTGTGTGTGTGTGCGTGTGTGTGTCTGTGTGTTTGCGTTGGGGTTCGGTTTCGGGTTCGCAGGGATTCGGGTGCGCTGTGTTCTCTGGCTCGAGTGGCTGTTGCGTTGTATTTGCGGCTTTGGTTTTTGGCTTTGCCGGTTTCCATTTCGCTTGCGTCCATTTTGCTGGATGCATTTGGATGCATTGAGCCATGAAAACGACATGACAAAACAAAACAAATTTGTTGTGTGTCCTCAGTGCAGGCTACTTACTTAGCTGTGTGTGGATTTGTTTTTGGGTAGCTGCTAGCATAGTATATGTTATATGCTTATCGATTTATATGTGACAAATAGCTGGCTGCATTTTCCAATTTCAAAACAATGAGCCACCGCCGAGGTGTCCGTGCTAATCCCGCAATTTTGCTGGCACTCAGTGCTCCGCTGCGCGTCCCTATTCCCTATTTCTACTGTCTCATTCCCACTTGGTTTTGTGGCCATTGCTAATTTTTTTCGCACGAAACAACCGAAAATTGAAAGATGAAAAAAGTGGGACAAAAGAGTTTTGAACTCGTCGCCGAGCATATGAGTATTAAGCCAGGTTCAGGTTGAGTTTGGTCCGGCCTAATCTTAATACCCAAGCCATTGTCTCATCATGCCCAGTGCTCATGAGTGCGTGTGTGTGTGTGTGTGGGCTTGTGTGTGTCCCTACCTCAGCTGCATACATCCCATTTTGTCCTTTTAGTAAGTGTCTGAGCTAATCCAGCGGCTAAGCACAGATCAAAGATCTTCAAACCGCAAGACAGCCCAAAAACTAGGTCTAGGCGGTCTCCGTTCCCGTTCCCTTGCCCGTGCCCGTCTCCGATCCCGTTCGCGTTCAAGAACTGAACCTAAGGCGTTCTTACACAGTTGGGTAATCTTGCGATAGTACACTCTAAGTAAGGATCTAAGATCTGAGGCATGACAGGCAGAGACCTGCACGTAACTGCTTATTTTTAGGGTAAACTATGGAATGAATGCATTTTCCAACTAAGTGTGGAAAAAAAAAGTAAAGACTTGTCTTATGAAATATTATGTCAAAGTAATTTTTAGAATATATTGAAGCCAATTACGAACAAAACTAAATGAATCTAAGAGTTTAGTTTCAAAAGGTTGAAAGAAACATAAAATAGTTCTCCAAATTTCGAAAAAATGGCTCTTAAGTATGTTCAACATACTCTTTGCTGATCGATTTCTTATGGCTAGGGTATATGTATATATTTTTTTGAGTGTATCGTGCCTTGGTATTGGGCCATTTCAATTTGAAAACCCCGCTAGCTGCCATGTGGCATGTGGGCTGTATCTATGTCTGTTTGAATTGTGTTTTTTTTTTGCCAAATGTGGCACATAAAAGGAAAAAACAAAAACTAAAAATAAAATAAAAATAAAAACGAAATAAAGAGCTACGTGATTTTCTACTCATTCGGCGCTGCTGATTATGAAAAATCATGGCAAAAAAAAAAAAAGAGCCAAAGGCCCCGCTGGCTTTTGTGACTGCGCCTCGGGGACTTGAAACGGGGGACTCTCTGTGTGTTGCCGTGTGTTGTATGGACCCGAAATCATTTCGGCTCGACATATATCACGTACACGCACTTTCATTAAAAATTCATTTCAGTATTCGACATTCGACATACGACATTCTGCTTTTTCACTTTCAGTTTCCGGGCAATGCGTAGGTCTTTCTTTTTTTGTCTTTTTTTGACTCGGTTCCATCTTGTTTTTGGATTACCTTTCGAATTTGGTTGCTATCCTGATGCTGTCATGTGTTTGGCTTATGATTCTTGTAATGTATATTTTTCCCGGTTGCTCTCTTGCTCGTAATTACGGTCAAAATAATATTTTCAAACTACTGATAAGTGGGCAGACAGCGGCGATCCGAAGGTAAACAGCCTTAGGAAAATAAACAAATCGAATGCTACCGAATCTTCCAACTGATTGACTGACTGACTGACTGACTGACTGACTGGCGGACAGACTGACTGAGCGAGTGACTAACTGAACATTGGACAATTGGACCAGCGCCCGCACTTTAAGATCGTTGGACAACTACCGAAACGGTAGCCCTAGCAGACCGTGTGTTTTATGGAGTTGACTGGCCATCCGACTGTGATTTTTTTTCTTGCCTCGTTTTTTTTTTTTCTGATGGTACCCTGGGAAAGTGTGTAACCAAGTTTTGTGATCGTTGTTGGCTCTGGCTACTGTTAATTTGTGCCATGGGAATATTTTTGTGTCTTCGACAGTTTCGAGTTGATCATTTAATTTTTGGTTTTTTGGCAAGTTTTGTTTTGGCCAGTTTGGCCAAATGATTAATGATGGCGTCTATTCGAACGTTGTACAATATTTGTGGCATTCAAATGTTGTCTTAAGCATAGCATTGAATGTGTTTTAGAAAGCGAAAGATGAGCAACAAATGCAGCCAAGTTCAAAGTCTATAAACATGTCTAAGGCATTTTCCCCCCCTTACCCCGTCGTCGTTCTATTGCCGCAGGCATGCGACAGCCAAGTGTATTGTGCAACACTGGCCAAAGCCAGCGGCGAATCGCCTCAGATACGGCCAGTCGCAGTCGCGAGTGCAACCAGCTGTCAAAAGTACTCACTTGTCATAGTCGCCACTCGTTTAGTTGTTGCAGTTGCAGTTGCAGTTGCAGCGGCTATTAGCAGCCTTAACAAGCTCTATAACAACTTAATATGTCCAGGCGTGTGTTTACAGTGCACTACACGCCGCAACACAAATGCTGTATATCGCAAAGCGCAAATCGCAAAGCGCAAATCGCATATTGCATTTGTATGCGTGAGCTTTTGAAAGCTGCAGCCAAATGCAAGCGAGCGAGCTGAAAGCTTTCCACGTGCGCATAGTGTGCATGTGAAAGCTTAGCTCAGCTATTATATTAGAGCCAAAGATACGTGTATGTGATTTGTGTAGAAGAGCTGTCAACCGAATGTTGCAACTTTCTAACGTTTGCAGCACAGTGTAGAAGTTTGAATAACTCGAATGCTTATGGCCGACGCGGGAAATATTTCTCAGGCTAATTTACATAGCGAGCAGCTACTGGAATACAAGCTACAAGCTGCGGTTCGGACTGTAACTGGAAGTTAAACTTCATCTCATTGTCAGACTGAGGAGACTGGGACTGAGACTGGGACTGAGTCTGGGATTGGGACTGGGAATGGGACTGGGACTGGGACTAAGACTGGCCTAGCATAATAAGCTGTCTGTTGAAAATAATGCAACTTAATAAACGCAACAAAGAACTCGAGGCGGCTAAGGTGGCACGTCGCAAGCTGCCACATTGCAAGTTGGCAACTGGAAACAGGCAACTCAGAGACTGGAACTGCAACTGGTAGCCAGTTTTAGAGCATGTGCCATTTCTACGCAAATGCATTTTGACATTTAAATTTGCAATTTTCGCATAAAATTATATTTATTTTTCATTGGGGAAAATGCAACCTTGCCGCAGCAACTGTTGCTGCTGCTGCTGTTGCTGCTGATGATGTTGTTGATGCTGATGCTGATGCTGATGCTGATTCCAGCTACCTGACTCTGTGCTCTGACTGCACTGAGTGACATACGTGACGTTGACGTTTCTGAAGTTTAATTAACAAACGTGCCAAATAATTGAAAAAGTGTGAAGATTTGACAAGTTTAATACGCATTCAAAATGTGCACACGGCCTAGAAACCGCTAACTAAACACCGACTTGAGGCTCTGGCGACAACTCAACTTAATTAGTTTTTTTTTTCGTTTTTTTTTTTTGTTTTTGCAACTGTTTCTCATTTTGTTAATCATATGCATTACACATTTAATTAAATTGACACATGAGCACGCTGAAAATACGATATACAAT